TGGTACAGGAGACTCTGTGACCCATCACATTCTGTGACCTGTAACTGCGCACAACAAAGGTTTTCTTTCAGCAGGGTCCAGACTTAACAACAACTGCTTCTTTAACATAAAATGTTTTCTGAAGCTTCCTTTTTTTTTTATTAAGAGGTAGATTTGGGCAGATGAGGTCACAGTGCAGTTAAAGTTAACAACGTTTCGGGCCTTGTAAAATTTTTGGTTATAAAGTGGGTTCTTTTCCTGGTGTACCTGTGCATTACTATTACACAGTACCTGTGTAGCAGTACTGTGCTACTGCTGTCATAACATTACAATGCCCTGTAATGCAGTCAGATACCTGGGTGTGGTGTCTGACTTGAACCCAAGGCACGGGGACAGCAGGTCGGTCAAGGTCAAGGAAATTAGACTGGGATGTTCCATAGAGGGCGACCGAGGAGAATACATCTAAGAAGCAAAGAAGGAGTTTGGGAATTGTCTCTAAATCCTGAAATACTGTTTTACGTTGCAATTCAGTAAATGATTTAACCCAATCAAAGGCCACTGGAGTTGGTGGAAAAGTCTAAGAGTGGGAACTGCTGCTGAATGTGCATGAATCTCCAGCCTTTACGCAGTGCAGCATGAACTCCTCCATGAAACCATGAAAGCCTTCTCCATAAATCTTCATAAACACAGTTAGTTTTTTTTAACTCCTAATGTACAGCTAATACAGAATTATTTCTTCATTACTTGTTGTTTCCTGCATAGTTCAGCAGTGAACTCAAAAATAAATTTCCCTACGGGGGCAGAAACATTCTAGATACAAAGTCATGTTTATCAGTACAGTATCTTACTGGGTAATTATTCTGTGTAAAACAAAAACAACGCCTTTTTTGTAATAAAATAAAAGTCGGAGGTTTTTACATTCAATCCTCAATACTGCAGTGAGTGTGCGATCTGTGAGTCTCCAGAAAATCTAGAAAATTACTAAATAGTAATAAAGGTAAGATAAAAAAAAGAGTTCTGTATTTAGAAAATAAATGTAATCATTGCCATTAAAGTTCTTCTTTACTGCCTTTAACAAGATGAAATATAAAAATAAAACAAAATAACAATACAGGTTTATTCTCATAAAATGAAACTGTACGTCGTTGTAGGAACACAAGTTTGTAGGTGCTTCAGACAATTACTTTGGAAGGCGTGATTATGCAATTTCAAGTTAATCTAATCACCTTTTTTCCGGTTCTATTTGATATTAAAGTTTTAAAGTGTTTTAAAGTGAAGGTCTGAACTAATGAGATTTTTCAGAAATGCACCATTACAGGTCGTTTCATGTGGACATACGTGGGCCCTGCACTTCCTGCTCGCATTTTTCTAAATCCCTGCGGGACCTCATTCCTTCCACTTTTCATTAGTGAAAACGGAGAAAGTGTGTCAGCTCAGCAGGGTTTGAGCAGCGGGGAATTGCAAATGGATTCCTTAGATTTTCAGGGTCCAAGTGTACGGTGTGTCTGCAAGGTTCAACTCCAGACCATTAGTGAAGCATTCGGTCTGGTATATAGATAAGGAAATGCATCAGCAGAATGAGTTTGTAGGAGAGATACAGTACGTGACATGTAAATGAGAAATAACAGGTCAGCTGCAGCCAACGAGGCCTTAAAGTATCGGACTCTTAAAGACAGGGTCAGGAAGTCTACAGCTATCCAAAAAACTTCCACTAATAATCTCGCTTCTCAGATTCAGTTGTCTCGTCAAAAGTTGGAAGTCACAGTCTGGAGTGAAACCCCAAAACTTTGGGCTGTAAACTCTCTCCGACATGTTTGGTAACCCAGTGTCTGATTTCATGTCCTAATAAAATGGTGAGGGCCACTCCAGCTTGTTACAAACCACAGGCATCTGTGTACTGCTTTGCTACAGCTAGCACATCTGATCAGGGAACCAAACCAGTTAAAGGCAGCTTTGTCTACACATGGGAAAAGTACTGATACACTGTTTGGCGGTGCTTCACCCTCATGGGAGGGGGAGGCAAGACTATATCAGAGAAACGTTTCCTTTGTTCTTGGCTTCGGCCTTCCGTATATATTTACCCTTTTACGAACCTCCCCCACACTGTTATCTACCCTCCTTAGACTGTATGACCCTTTCCCACACAATTATATGCACAGTAGAGTTGTAATAATAATCGTGATGCAGAGCAAAATGAACGAAAGGATAGACAAGGGGAGATGCTGAGAGATGCTACGATGCATGAGCCAATCAGCGCGAAGATCAGAAACGCATGCTCAATTAGCCAATAGTACACCGAGTACTCGTTGTATTAGCCAATGGTATGCTCCATACGGTCTTGTCTAGCTAAACAAAGCTACCAGCGATCGTTCACAAATGTGCTTATCTCAATTTCAAAACGAGAATGTATAATTGTTTTAAAATTTCTTTTAGTTTATTTTTTGCTAGATTTCACGTTACAGCAAATCTATATATAAACAATTCAGCAATAAACTGAGGGGGCAAAGGGAGAACCGCGATATAGAGGGGGAACACTGTATATACGTATGTATAAGCTAGCACAAATGGGACATTCAAAGTTAGATTTTAATGACCAACATGCGATTACTCCGTTAAAAGTAGTAGTTTCTTTGTTCCCTGTTGTTGCTTGTGCTTAAGACCATTATAACAAAAACAATACACATGACGGCCGTGTTAAAAAGTTACCAACGCTATCTTTAATCATCTTCGAAACACGCCTCCCAGAAGAATTTTTTTTTTAAACCAGCTCCAGAGTGTTTTACCAAACAAACTCACAGGCCACTTCCTGTAATTCAACAAAGTTAAAACACCTGCTAAAATGATGAGCTGAATCTCAGTGGAGCCTGATGTATATCTAATTCCCCACATCCCAGTGTAATTTTGCTCTGAAACAAATGAGCCTATGGAACACAAACGAAAGACCTTCATGTGCGAATCAGCCTATATTAAAAAAATGGTGATTTAGTGATTAAGTGACTATAAGGAGCCATTGACAGTGCAAAGAGATCTCAAGGGCACCTGCAGTTGCGGGAGGTCACGGCTGTGTTGAACTAATGTAGAATTCTGCAGCATACGGGGGGTGGGGGTGGGGGGACCTTCACAGTTTATAGGAGCAACCTTCATGGAACCGGTGGGCCAGCCAGAGTCAGACGCTTTGTGGGCTTCAGGGAGGCCCAAGTGTGGGCTGCCCGCTGGAAGGGTGCCCTTCATTTTCTAGACAGCGTGCCCTTTTGAAAAATACGATCATAAATTGAATGTGAGTGGCAGCCTAACTGTTGTCCGTTCTGGTCTGTACCATTTGCTGACAAACATCAGCCTCCAGAGCCTCATTTGGAGCCGACTGTAGCTGGAGCATCGTGTTGCAAACATGACCTTCAACTCTTTTGCTGTAATCAGCCGTTTTTGTTTTGTTTGTTTTTTCTTAGCATATTCAAAACTGTGGTCAGCTCGGAGACAGGAAGATGACACAGTAGATGATGCATACAGTATTTACTCATGAATAAATGGTTTTAAGTGCAACTGTATCTATTACAAATTTAAAAATAGATAAATATAAAATAAAATATTTTGCAAAGAGAAAAAGGTTTAAAAATTTGCATAAAAAGAAATGCAGAAAAAGTGAAAAAAAAAAACATGGTTTCTGCCAAAAAAAAAAAACAAAAACACGAAAGTTGAACAAACTCACTACTAGTAGCTGAAAGTGAATGCTAACTGTTAGAAGGATAAGCTGTTGATGGAGGGTTTTTTTCTTCCTATAATAGGATTTAAACTATCCTTCAATCACAAACCTGATCATGTGATCACTGAGCCATGGATGACTTAACTTAAAATTTGAGATGTAACTAAAATGACCACTACAATAAAGTAAACCAAAATCCCAGTATTTCAAATATTGTTTAAAAAAAGTACTCCTTACTGCTCCTCACCTGACTAACAGATTGTTGTGCTTTGTAAAACAAAATAAAAGTACACAGAAGTACAGAGTCGAACATTAAAAATAAAATCTTCATTCACTGACTGGGCTGAATATAGGCTGACCTTAAGAAAAAAAAAGTACTATGTTTTTGTATTCTTCAAAGTAAAACTCTGCCAAGTGACCTTTAAACAATGAACAAGCAACAAGGTTTTTACTTTAACGCCCTGCTTAGCTAAAGGTTAGAAATGGAAATAATCCATAGACCTGGCGCAAACACTTAATAGCTGCTGTTTCTGTCTTTAAATACAGCTTTGCTTCTGAATCTGCTCACTTTATAGAATGTGCTGCCGAGGAAGGTATTTTTATTTTATTGATATAATATTTTATATTTAACACAGTGGCATGTTAGGCAAATGTGTGCGAAGCCCTGAAAGGCGTTTGATGATTTTTAAGTTTCTATTTTTATTTCTAGGAAATTACCTTGTTTTGTTGTCAGAACACGAGCTCCTGGTGAATTTTAAATTATTTATGTATGCTTATGACATTTTTATTATCATAAATATCTTTTTGAATTTTTTTTGTGATGTGGTTGAATTGACCATCCATCATCCATCCATCAAGAAACCATCCGTCCATTATCCAATCAGTAGCAGGGTTAGTGTTGGGGTCAGGAGGAGTTCATTTCATCGGTCAACAGGTAAGAGCGAGGTACACCCTGGACAGTTGACGCGTCCATCACAGGCCCACATACAGAGACGAACAACAACAACAACCGTTCACGCTCACATTCATTCTATGGTCAATTTAGAGTGTCCATCAACTTAATCCCATGATCCCCCGATGAGTATGTCTCTGCACGAACACACGCAGGTAGAACCAGTGAACCTTTGATCTTCATGCTCGAAAGGCATTTGAAAATAAAAAAAAAACATTGAAAAACAATTCTCAGATATGAATTGTAATATATTTTCTTTTTTCTTTGGCATTACAGATACAGTAAGATCATGTTAACCTTTAGCTGATTTTACAATTATTTTCAACATTTAGCAATTGACATGACTATACTAGGTAACAATTAGCTATATCTGATTTTGTAGCTTCTCTTATTTTTTTTAATTTACTGGGATTTCTTTCCTCTGATTCCTTTGTTGTTGATCCACTTTTGTATAGGTATTAGTGCTTGACAAGAATTTCATTATTTCCACCCCTCTGGATCTTCTATGTTGCACTGTGTTTAAACATTGGCATTAGCATATTAGCACTAGCAATTCTAATAGCAACTCACTCAAGGGCTAAATATGTGAAAAGTGGAGCTAAAGTCTACTTTAGTGCGAAGAAAAGACAAATAAGAAATCAGGAACTCCTGGAGTGGACATGGTTGTTTATTCTGAATTGTGACAGGAACAACCACGTTTCATTTTGACCTGACTTCATTCGGTATAGGTAAGCCTCTCGTAGCAGCCAGGGCATTTTCTACCATTTTCTCCACCATTTTGCATGTTGTGTTGTAAGTGTTAACACCAATGTGGGGAGTAATGAGGACATTAGGCATCCTGAGGAGCGGATGATCCCTGCACAGGATCAAGCAGAAGAGCCGTCAGCAATCAGCAGAATAATGAATGAACATGGTTTGTTTATCCTGGAACTGAGAGACAAGACCTCGGCAAAGGTTCAGGATGAGTTACATCTAATGCGGCTGCATGAATAGTTCCACTCTGAAGAGCTTTGACTAAAGCATCCTGGTCCACGACTTGGCCTGGGGGGGAGATTGGTACATTATTTTGATACTTGATACTAAAGCACAAATGCATCATTCTTACCGCGACTGATGTTGATCAGAGTAGCAGTTGGTTTCATGAGGGACAGCTCTCGTTGACCGATGAGGCCAATGGTATCGGAGGTCAGTTTGACCGCTAACATGACAAAGTCTGACCTCCTCAGAAGATCATCCAGTCCCTCACAGTAACTTGCCTTAACTGCCTCTTCATCTTCTGCACTCCTGGAAAGGACATGCAGTACTTGAGTACTACAGATATTCTAACATATGGAAAATAACTTTCCATTAAAAATTACTGTTACTTTGGACTCTGGACAGTCCTCTACACCAGTGCTCCCCAGCATTTTTTGTACCAAGGTCGGTCAGTAGGGGGCCTTTACTGGAGACCAGTATGTAGCATCTTTTACAATAAAACATACACCTAAATATTGCCAGATTATCCTTCATGGAAAAACAGATACGACTGGATTCTTGATTTTGAGAGTACATTTTTCATTGTGTAATAATCCATTCCAGGACCGAGCTCGTATCTCCAGGTGCTCGTAATCTCTTATGTCGAGATGTTCGTATCTCGGGGTTCTGCTGTATTAGTATTTGTTTTGTTGACTTTTGTACGTTACCTTTTTCGTCTGTTGTGATACAGTATCCTCATTTGAAATCCACAACTCCTTTGGGCAATTCTGTAGCCAATATCTCCCATTCCGATAATCCCCAAAGTTGATCCTGTGACTTCACTACCCATCAGGCTTTGTTGTATCCGGACAGTCTTTGGGTCAATAGCTATTTGATGACCTATTAGGACAAAAGAGCAGCAGTAACATAAAAAGAAAGACATTAACACTGGACTCTGGGTTTATGGAACTGATAGGAGTTTTCTTACTGCGTCTTTATATATATATATATATATATGGTGATAAAGTTGAGTGCCTGTATTGACAAAGCCACTGTGAATGTGTTTCAGCTGTGAAAAAACATTAACCTGTTCCAAACGGCTGCAGTCTCTGTTCTGCATCAGTGAACCTTTAGTTCCTTACCCTCAAGGATCTTGCGAGCAGACGTCAGAAGCAAACCCATGGCGAAATCGGCCGTGGCGTCGCTCACTGCTCCGGGAGTGTTGGCCACTTTGACCCCGAGACTGTTGATGAATGGCACGTCAAGATGGTCGATGCCCACCCCCCCACTTACCGCCAGTTTTAGGGAGGGGAGCATTTTAAACAGCCCTGGATTAAATTCTGGGAGGAACTTCCACTGGAACGCGACCTGGATTTTTGGGCCAAGGTGTTGTGGGTTTTCAAGAAGTTCTTTGTAGGGGACGATTCTGAAGTGTTGTTTCACTATATCTGCAAGCTCTTCATTTAAACCAGCCTCACCCCCCACCTCTGAGATCAATACCCATGGTTTTTCTTCCTCCATTACCTGAGGAGCAGAACACATCACTTAGAAAGGAAAAAAAATATATTTTGCGTCTTAAACAGAAAAATCAGACATTTTAAGATTGTCTAAGGTGATTTGTAATTTTATGTGCACCAACCTCCAAATCTCAAATGTTTTACTGAACATTCACACAGATGAAACCAGTTTTTGTCAGTGATCAATTTGGACTGATAACATACATACAGATAACAAAATGTTTTGTTTTTTTACCTTGAGCTCGAGCTTTATCTATTGTCCGTCCGCTCGTGAGTCTGCTGGAAGCAGTCGACAGTAGGATCTCAACCTTCGTCCTATGTAGTTGTTGTATTATTCAAATGAAGTTAATGAAAAATCAGACAGTCAGTTTGTAGATTATTCACAGAAACCTAATCTTTGTGGTTTTAAACATTACAGTAGTCATTGTCTACGGTGTGTTGTGTGTATGTGAGATATAGACGTTAATAAATACAGGTGCCTAAAGCAAATGGCTTTAAATTCCACACGCACAAAAAAGTATAATTTCAAGCCTCAGTGATCACAGAAGTTGAAGCTCTTCTGTTGCAGCATTTTATATGTTTTTAATTGAAAATTGTTATGTTTTGGACACATTATTTTCCATGACATCACATTTCATTTTTCCCCCAGAGGTGTCAGTAAATCAACACGTCCTGTTTCCTGTGGTGTTGTTTTGTTTTTGTTTTATTATGTCGATGAAGCTCGTCATGGGAAGGTATGTAGTAGATCAGTCTCTACTTGATAACGAATCGTTAATTGTTAAATCTTATGCATTTGATGGTTGTTTCTAAGGTAGCTAAAGGTCTGGTTTTGTTCCATAAACACCTCATGAATCCACACTTCATGTCCACACTTTTTTTTAATTTGTTTAAAAATTATTTTTAAACAAATTAAAAAAAAATTGTAAGCAAGTGTAAATGAAAGCCGCTCTCACAAACATCTTAAATTATCTGACGGAGTTAATATAGAAATAATAAAATAAAGTAAATATATTGTGCAAAATTAAATAAAATACTAAAAACAAGGAACAACAGAAAAACACTAACCTCTCCCACAAAGTCCGAAGAAAGAGGCAGAGGTTGGGTGTGGCTGGCTTTTTATATAAAAAAAAAATACACGTCAAGTTTCCGCCCAAAAAGGACCAACCCACATCCATCAGGTAGAACAAATAAAACAATTTTGTGTAATTATAACTAGTTATAACTACCAGTTGAACTGAACACTGTGAACCCCCTGATTCTGAACAAATCACTGAACCCAAGTCTTTGACTTCCCTTACACCTTAGTATCAAGAAATACCACACAGCACGCATTTATACCCAAAACCATCTGAACCGAATGGAAATGATGTTTATTTATATTTTTTATTTTATTTTTGTCTATGGTGGTGTAAAATAATTCCCTTCCAAATCCACTCAGATAATCAAGCTGAACCTGGAGGCGAGATTGCTTTGTCAAGTGACTATTTCACGGTCAGGCTTGTTGTCTTCATGCTCAGCCTCATTTGTTTTCTTCATTATAAGATTATAACATTACCGAGCCGAAATAAAATAAACAATCATTCTCAAGACATTTTTTTTATCTTGAAAAACTATTTTGCACTAATAATCTGATGTTGATGAGTTTAGGTCTCAGTAGATTAAATCATGTACGGCCTAGAGATGGGAACCGTGGCAGGGAAGAATAAGAACCTAACTGTTTTATACATATTTACTTTAAATGTATTCTGCACCGGGTAGGGACCCCCCAGGCCTGAGTTTGACACGTGTCCTATAGACTTCATTTACTTCTGAAACCAGTAAAGCAGCTTTGACATGAAACAAAAGTGTGAGACCATGAAGCTTTCTTTATTGTCTTTATCAATCTGAAATTGTACAGGTTGCTGCTGTTAAAACGTGTGTTTATTTCAGGTGTTGCAGCTTGATTTCATTAGGAGTTGGTAAACCTCTAACCACAGCCAGGGCGTTGTCGGCCATTGTCTGGAGCATATTTGCGATTCCAGTCGTAGTATTGAAGCCGATGTGGGGTGATGAGCACGTTGGGCAGGTGAAGGAGAGGATGATCACTGTGAGACATGAAGCACAGGAGGGAAAGGGACTAAGATATTTCAGTGGACCAATATACGATGGTAATTGGTTGAAGGATTTGTCAAGTATTTGCTTCTTGTATGTGAATGTGTACTATACAAATCACACATTTTTGATGTTTTTCCATCTTTTACAAATACATTCTGAGAAGAGACCTGGGTAGAGGTTCAGGATGAGTCACGTCTAACGCTGCAGCACGGATCGTTCCAGTCTGAAGAGCTGAGATTAAAGCATCTTGGTCCAGCACTTGACCTAAGACGTGTGAGGGAGCAAAATAGGAGCAGAAGATTAGAGTTTTGGGGTAATTCCTGGAGGGATAAATGCAGTTTCTTTTGGCACCTCTGCTGATGTTGATGAGTGTAACCTCTGGTTTCATCAGTGACAGCTCTCTGTGGCTGAGGAGGCCCGTTGTGCTAGGCGTCAGCTTGACAGCGATTATGACAAAGTCTGACCTCCTCAGCAGGTCATCCAGGCGTTCACAGTACGACGCTCCTACTGACTTTTCATCTTCCAGACTCCTAAGAAGAAGAGGAGTTTTATTCCTGATGAAAACCCACTGGTTAAATTGGTTAAAATACAAAGAAAAAAAAAAAGGTTTAGAAGGTTTAAAAACCTACCTTTTCAACACAAATATTTAAAAAATATAAAGCGTTCTGTCAACAACGCACAGAAAATATTGTCTTATGCGATTAATTCATGGCATTTGTCAATATTCTCTGAGCTAAGCTAAGCTAATACCACCATAATACCATTACCGCCCACTACTGGTTTTATTTATTACACCGTTGACATTACTTGGAAAAGAAAAGAAAGTTGTGGGAAAAAAAAAATCAAACAGAGACATACACCTTAACACTCTAACTCAGTGGCTGCTTCAGTCGACAAGGATATTTGATGTATTTACCTCTGCCTCCTGTTATGATACAGAACTTTCATTTCGAATCCTCTGCTTCTTTGTGCTACTTTGTATCCAATGTTTCCCATCCCAATAATTCCCAGTGTGGCTCCTGTTACCTCAACCCCTCTAAATCTTTCTTCCATTATGGACGGTTCAGTATCGCCAGCTCTTCTTAAGCCTGTGAGATGGAGAAAAAAAAATATGACTATCATTAATGTCCAACCTGAAGCAAACATGAGGCAAATATTTGGATTCTTGTTATTTTATCTTAATTTACTCTCAACAATTTTGCGTGCTGATGCCAAAAGCAGGCCCATGGCTAGGTCGGCAGTTGAGCTGCTCAATTTTCCGGGTGTGTTGGTCACCTTCACATTTCGACTGTTGATGTACTGTACATCCAGGAGTTCAAAGCCTGTGCCTCCGTTAGATATCACCTTCAATGAGGGAAGGGAATCCAGCAGATAACGTTCCACAGGTACGGCACTCCATACGAACAAGGCCTGGACTTTGGGGCCGTACAGGAGAGGGTTTTGTTTGAATTGATGTATGTTAATAACGTTGAAGTATTTTTTCACTATGACTGTCAGGTCGTCAACAGCTGATTGTTTATGCACGCCCTGTAAGACCAAGGCCCATGGTTTGTCTGAATCCATTTCCTAGTGTAGTAGAAGAAGAAAAAAAAGACTCAAGATTATAGTCTCTCTGGAGAGAAACTTTGAAGAAAGCATCAATAGTTCATGTCCTAGGACTATCCCGATGTAAACAAGTGCCCAACTAGAGCAACTAAAATATCTGCAATTGCCAAGGAACAACAAAAAGGTAACAAAATTCAATTGATGCAACAATTCATTGATGTTGCATCAAGATGAATTTTAAAGAAAATAGAAAAAACCTGTTGTACTACAGTATGACATCAGTATCACGAAAAGTACATGCTGTTTACACTAGACATCCCCTCAGGATACTTTGGCAAATGTTAGCAAATGGTTGTTGTGTTCTTAAGATTTGACTCGGAGATTGAGGTCTTGGTTTTCATCTCCCGACTGTCACTAAGAACTTTCCTTAAATTCTAAGGCCTAGATTCATATAGTGTATGTTTTTTTTTGTTGTTGTTGTTGTTTGTTATTTTTTAGTAAAATGTTGATGATTACGAATAGACTCAAAGCTTGTTGTGCATTAAGTTTGATGATCTGGCAAGCCCTGGAGGAAGCAGCCAGAAGAATGAAGGAGGAGGTTATTGTATAGTTATTATAAAGTTATGAAGCTGTGAATACACTGTCTCACCTGGAGATCCCTGGGTGAATATTAAGGTTCGCGGTGCAGAGGTGTGACAAACTTCTCAGCACAGGGCCTCACGCCTTCTGATTCTATTTTGTGTTCGCGCCATGTTTGTGTCATCTCGGCTCATCAATAATGTGGCAGTGACGAGGGTCTCATGGGGTACGACGCATTTTGTCACATTTTATGCTAAATTTGTGGGAAGAAATTGGCTGTCGAAAGTTAGCAGCAAGGTGTGCATGGACACAAAGGTCAACGTGTCTCGATTCAGGGAACCAATTTTTTTTTTTTTAATGAGGAGTGAAGCTAAAATAGCCCTCCTTCCGCTCACTTCACTTTATTACGATGAGTATTATTTTATTGTTTATACATTATTAATCAGGACTTTACTGTCTGAGTGCTGCCAAACTCCACCGGGACATCATATCTCTCACAAATGTCTGAGGGTAATTTTATGACTGTACAAGGACTGAGGGGTCCAGTAGGAATAAAACCCATTATAAGACTTGTGTATGTTTGTATGTCTGCAGCTACAGATATATATATATATAAATATATATATATATATATATATTTAACCATCAACAATTTCTCTTCAACATCTTGTCCAACACCGACCTGCCAACAGAGGCGAAAATACTCAAAGGAAAAGATTTGTTTATATGCAAATCAATAACCCATACAGAAATGATCTGCAGGTCTACACTAAAGAAACGGTATCTGGAGAGTTACTTTATGATCCAACGATAATTTGTTTCGGGAAGAAGTATCGCCCTGAAATACCGTGTAAAGGGGAGTGGTTTGTTTACTTAAAATAATAATTATTTAATTTATTTAATATTTAAAGTGGTTGTGAGTTTCATCCATCATACTTTGTATTTGTGGTGAAATATTTGCACTGTTCCCTGGGGTTTCTTCAGATCCTGTACTTACTGATATGCACGCAAGACACAGAAAAAGCACACATATGCAAAACTGTGAGTGTTTGAAGGGAAAATAGTAGAAAAACTCCTCATTGGTCCAATACTGAGAGTGAATCATCACATTTAAACTAATTAATAATGGAGCATTTGTTCTGACTTTTAACAAAGTAGGCTCAATATTAGTCTGGAGATTGGTGGCCAAGAACCTGGTGTCTATAAATGGGCAGTTTGTCTCTATTGTCACCTCTGTTCTGCACCAAAACAGGTCAATAATACTTATTATCGCCGATGGTTCATCATTCTTCCACTCTCTTGGCATGTAGCCAGTTTAGCAAAGCAGATTTGTCTTCACCCGGAGTCTTTCAAGAGTCCTGAGGGGCTGTACAATTAATATAACTGTCCTATTTTATGTACAAGGGTGTGTTTTCTTTTGGACCCCATACAACATAAATACAGGTTTATACATTGAGGTGAGACTCATAAGGAATCTGGAAGAAAGACTTTGATAATTAAGTTTATCTAAGGGTCCATTTTCTTTCCCTTTTGTCTTGTAAACTTTTACGTAGCATCATTAAATATAGCCATGGTAAAACTTGACTCGTCCCCAAAAATTCAAAATAAATATAAATATACATGTTCAGGCTAATGGTAAGGATTACAGACCAACCATGATGCTTCCTCAGTATGTATTTACTACAGCTTTTAACACCCAAAATGCATGTCTTAAATGAAAGAATAGTCACATCCTCTTCCAGCAGGTGGCACTAATCAGAGTTCTGTTACTGTTCCTGTTCTGGCCCGGAACTTACGTACTGTACATCAGTACCTATGTCACTCACTTACGCAGACTTACGCCTGGGAGCCATAATGAAGGGCAAACAGTTCCCAAAAAACAACACAAACCAAAGTAGCAAAATCCAATCTAAGCTAAACAATACAAATGTAAACGAAGCTGTCTTCCATGTATAACGCCACGTGACATTTTATTGTCCTCTCCACTCGGGAATTATTTCCTTTGCAAAGTACTTGGCGAGTTTTAACGCTGTACATCAGAATGATAGAGCGAGTATTTCTTAATAATATGTTTTGTCTTTTTACTGGGCGGAGCTAAACAGGATAAGATGCCATGTATAAAAGGTCCTTGGAAAACCATAGAGTACCTTTAGCTACTATGTTGACATATGGGTCGTGGGCGCACTTTAAATATCCAAACAAGTCAAGTCACTTTCTGTCTTTTAAAGACAAACCCTCCTGGTCTGATGATATCGGGATGCGACTGACCTCAGGGCATTAACTACTAAGGATTTACTGATTCTTTCACAGCAGTTAGTACCTGTTGTAGTCCATACTTTTTGAGTGGTACGGGGGAGGGGTGGATAAGTCTGTGGAGGACAGACGTCCTTGATTAATTTGTTGTTGGGTAGTTTCTGCTCAGCAGGCGGGGGCAATTCACCACATTGTTGATTCCCACCCAAGGTCTGAGGACACTTGGGGCCACAACAGCACAGGTCTGGTGATATATCATGACAAACTGTAGTGGTCACAGCCAAGAAAATGTGTGTTATTATTCTACTTCTGTTTCTCCCCTCTCTTCACACCTACTATGGTAACTAACTGTGGTTTTCTATATCCGTCAGGCACACACAGTGAGGAGAGGACTCGATATAAAATGAGTGCCTCCATTAATAGTTCTGACGCAATTATGCAAATTAGCCTACACACTGAAGAAACACAAATTTTGCTGTCAGCACTTCACACAGACTGAGTTGTTTGCTATAAATACAGGGACTGAGGGCTGATGTGATGACGACCGTCTTCAAAGATCAAAAACAAAAGTGCATTTATTAAAAAGCTGTTCTGAGGATGGAAGCTCGTTAAAAGGAGACGGGCATAGAATGACAATTATCCTGCTCGTAATTGTACAGAATTAGTCAAAAGTAGCATTTTCAAATTATCACCTGCTCACGAGCTATTGGTGGTTGAGGAATTGACACACGGCAGATACACAGTCACACAAACAGCCGATCAAAAACAGAATATTGAATTCACCGGGACACAGGCCCACATAGAAGGTAGCTAAAAGAGGATGCTACCTGCTTTGTTGGGTGATGGTTACTCCAGGTTGACTCTTAAACCAGTGTCGACACCCACACACAGGTCAGCTGACTTAATTAAACAGTCTTTTTGTATCTCCTCATTAAATATCTCTGTTTAAGTAATAATTTTCAAATGTACGTTTAACAGTCTTTTTGTATCTCCTCATTAAATGTCTCTGTTTAATAATTTTCAAATTTTCAAATGTACGTTTGTTTAACTTCTTGCTAACTTCTTTGGAATTGTTTGCCTTGGTTAGTTGGAATTTAAGGAAATAAATAATGTTCATCACCAACATCATCTTGGAGTCATCTTAGATCAGTGTTTCCAGAACTGTTTTCTAGGGACCCATATTTTAAAAGTCACAAACCTTCGCAACCCAAGTCAATAAACATTATTCGTAAACTCCTGGGAAACATGATGTGCCCCCCCAAAAATCTCTTGTGACCCACCTGAGGGTCATGACCCATGTCTTAGATTATAGATCTATTTAAGATTACCAATATATATTTTTTAAATCTATAAAGATATGATATTTCTCAAAAGTACCTTTTTTATTTCTGTTTTTTTTTTTTTTGTGATATATACTTTTGTAAAAGACTTCTCACCTTTTTTCTGCGTTATTTTGCTCTTCTTGGCAGTGTGTAAAAATAGCGTCAGAAGAGACTGAAGCTGAACATGTCAGGCTAAATCATTGATGAGCCATAAAACATATCAGAATTCATACCTCATCACATCAGAAATGGATAGGTTACTAAGAAGAGAAGAGCCACACCGGGTCAGAAAGTGAAAGCAAACGCCCAGGGCCCCTCACTGAGGGGGGCCACCAGAGAACGCCTCATTACATCAGTCTACATCAGCAACAGTTTTTTTGCAGCTCCTTTCAAAAAGAGTCACTGGAGTATGGACTGTAGAATGAGTACACGCACTGTGGCACAACATTATTATAGATACTCAGTGTAAGTGAAGATCTGTAGGTGTTGATGGATGGAGTGATGCTAGATATATAGATAGATAGATTTTTAGAACTAACATGCAGTTAGTTTAGCTGTATTCTTAATCCATTATCTCGCATGTGTCAAACCATCTTCAATCTTTACACAAAACTAAAGTTTGTTTCCAGATGACGAAATTCTACATTACAGATCTGGAGAGAAGGGAAAATATTAACAATTAAAGTCAATTGTTCAATTAATATTAAGTTTGACCCACGACTTTGTCCCAGTTTTTAATTTTGGCCCACTGTGAATTTGACTTTGACACCCATACTCTCTGATTAATATAAACATTAAGTTATTTGTACAGTATTGCCTTATTTGTGGCTACTATTACATTCTTATATTTATTTTTGCATTTGTTTTACA